CCTTGATGCTTTGTGGCAGGTGTATCCATAATTACAAGGTTGGAGCCATAACAGACGGGGTGAGGTCATTTTTCCAAAAAGGAAGTTTCTGAACTAACGCCAAATATGATGCATTATATTATTGACTTGGTTCGATCTCCAATAATTTTCATTAACAATAAATATGCATTTTAGAGAAACTGCGTTACTTGTTGCATAAAATATCAGTGAAATATACTATACAAAAAATATCGTACAGAGTAATGATGTTAATGATTTACTCTACACTTATGATGTGTATAAACTGGATACTTGTCAATAGGGATAGTAGCTCTAATGTTTATTGAAACATCGAAAGAATCGGGGGCCGCAAAAAAGCACCATGTATTCTCACGTGTGTGGGGCATCGAAAGTCGAAATAGTCGTTTTGATTGTTTCACGTGACTGCTACAGGCACACTGCTGTACCAATTATCTATAAAGGGCTTCATACCTTTTCTTGAGTTTTTTTTTTCGCTGTTTCAGTTAGTAGTATATCTACTACTTTGTGAGTCGAATCCCAGAGATCCTAGATCCACCAATGCAAATGGAATAATTATTAAGAAAGTATACCCGGAAAAACTAGTCAAACTAAATAATATGGTCTAAATGCTTTTACGAGTATTGGCCTGATATAAGAGTTTTGACTGAATCGTCAGTCACATAATCATTAAAATAAATTCTTCGAGTGTATCTTTAACTAAAAAACCATCCAATAGTGTCGACTTGTAAAGCTCCAAAGATAGTCGGAAGTGTCTTAGTATTTTCTACAATCTTCATAATTAATGTGAGACATCCTTGTCTGGGTGGAAGGGGGGAATACATATAAACAAAAAAAAAACTAGTCAACGATATTTATAACGACTTTTTCACGGACAAATTAGATATTTATGAAATCAAGTATTTGTGAGAAGTTATTGTTTTTGTAGATGTGGTGGCTAAATAGATAACTATACGACTTCCTAGAAATTTCTGAAATACCCAGATAACCGATCAACGTTCAAATAAACTAAAAAACGCAAATCTGATGGTGTAGAATTATACAAGGTATTCCATTTAAATTTTTGGGAGAAAATTACTATTTTGCGTTAAGTTGAAAACAATGAGGTATTTTGACCCAGGAAAAAGTACATGTTTAATTTTTGGATTTACCTAGATTGTTCTTATCTAATCTTATCTAATAATAGCTTTGGAAATGTATATCTGGATGGAACTATTATTTGATGACTTATGCGTGTTTTACACATATCTGATTTAAACACAATTGTATAGTACTGCAATATTCAATTTTTGCAAAGATTCATAGCGCGATTCTAGCTTTATGAATACTGCTGAAATTCAGAGAGCAGAAGATCAGAAATCTTTTGAAATTTATGCCAGTTGGATCCATCTAAATCTAAAGAAAAATGATTTCTCCTAAAGGACTCAGACATCATATTAAAACCAATTTGAATATAAGGTTGAATTTTAATGTTATTAAAATGGAGTGTTTTGCTGTCCTATATCTTAACGGGCAAATACTTGATTTCATTAATCAAAAAATTCTTTGTAAAACTATGATAATGTCAAAAATTACTCACTGCGATCTGGTATACCATTCAATTTTATTGTCTCAGTTTTTCAAATTACATACGAACATGCACTATACAGGTCCTTTTGAAACATACTTTCAATATCATAAAGGCATTTATATAAATTCTACTATTTTTGTGCTGTTCTATAATTTACAAATTTTATTGAATTTAGATTTGTTTATGTTAATTCATTTGTGTTCGGCGCTAAGTGGCAGAATAGCTATAAGATGAACTTGGCCCCAAATAAAGACGGTTCATTATTATTATTAATACTTGATGTATTTGGCTAATAATGAATTTAGACTTAGACTGTGAGAAGTAGCTTCATAATCTGTAATAGAATAAATATAAAGCTCAGTCCGATTCTGCAGCATGTTACGTAAACGCATGTTAGCGGATTTTTTTTTCGACCATTTCGCGAGATTGCGTGTGCGCTAGTAACAATTTTTTTCACGCCACTCACAGCGACGGTGAACATACAGCATGCTAATTTTTTATGTTATTTTAACACCAACACGTTCTGATGAAATTTTATTGCTTGTAAAACGCATGACACAGGCGCGGTAAAACACCTTGCATTGGAAAAGTTAACAACTAACTAACAGATAGGCTAGGTACCATGCCTAGATGTTAGGTATATCAAAACAAACTGAAATTTACGAAAAACGAAAATAAATGATTTTTGTTACGCAAAGTATAGGAAGTTTTTACATAGTTTTTAAACAAAATAGTGCTAAGACTGAAAGTACGTGACTCAGTACAGACGAATACATATTAGGAACCTTCAAAGCATTGCCCAGGAAAAACGCTTGTCCCAAGAGTCAAATTGTTTACCTTGCGTTTAAATAATACTGTATGTTTGTCTGAAACTTATAACCTTTTTTAAAATGCGATGCATGTTTTAGGGGTTATAATACAATATATTAATATATTGAGATATAAGTTTGGTACTAGACAAAATTGTATTTTCAATGACAAAATCTATTCAGGGATGATCTGTGTTGGAACAAGCGTGTTTGAAATTCGATTATTGGAAGATCCTCTATATTTATTTACCCCGCAATTTCGCGGCAGAAGAAGGGTCATATTTTATGAGCAGGGCGTGAAAATAACTCATGAGGAAAGGGCTCGTAGCAGGACCCCTCCAATAGAGAGGACCCTGGTCTCATTGGCTTTTTAGTCTCTGATACTGTTATTTCTAAATGTGATTAAGCATCTATCACGCTATAGTGGAGAGCTCGCGTCACATGTTGCTTGTTCTTCCATCATCATCTGTTTGATAATAATAATTTTTGCATAGTGCTGCAACTTCTATTATTGTTGCTAGGTATATTTGCCAGTAGGGTTAATGCCTACACATTTAGTCTAGTAGCAAGGTCCTAGCTTCGTCTTTCTCTTGAAATTGGCCCATTCAGATGTTTGAAGTTTTATCGGAAGAACACATTTTTGAATTTAGCCTCTCAAACTGGAAGTCTTTCCTGCTTCTTACACCATATCTAGCGCCTGAATTACCTGTGAGCGCCACTGTTTTTTGAGATCCCTTTTCAAGTTGAAAAAGAATAATAGAAAAAAGTGATAAAGGGTAATAGCTTCTTTTTAGAATGGCTAAAGCTACTGATGGCTTTTGAAATAAGAAGTGGGAATGGAAGAAAGCAGAGAGCTTAAAAAGAAGTGTACGTCTATAACTTTTGTCGCTAAGGGAGTGAAATCTATGTACCATATTTTAAATCGATCATGTATCTTTGCTTGAGCACAGAATTTTTACTAGGGTTTCGGATTTCGTAGCTTTTTATCAAAGCAGTGAGTGGTCTTGGAAATGACTTTTTTGAATAATAATTTTCAACTGCGACTTTTAGGAATGTACAAAAATGAAACACTTTTAGCTATTTTTAATTTTTTTTAATCAGCAAAAAACTGGAGTGCGGTTTTCCGCTCTTTCCCCTATCACGCTAGGTCTTCAGTAAGTCACTGCTTTGGCAAAATTTTATATTTAAACTTTACGTTGCAAGTTTCACGACCTCTCGTTCATTGAAACGGTAAAAACACACACACACACACAAAATTTTGATCTTGTTTTAAGATGCCTGCACTCTACATGATCCATTTTACTTCCTATGCCAAAACTGGCAAAAAAGTATTGTAGGCGCGAAAAATTTTGAAATTGAATTATAATGATTTTTAGATGTTATATGATACGTACATCACGAAAAACCATGTTACTAATTTCCGTCGGTCTGTGTCCGCCTATAACTTAAAAAAACATGAAAGAAATAAAAATTGCTTAAACTTCGTTCTTAGACGTTTCAGGCTCCTTATCATTTTCGGATTTTTTTTTGTAGGGGTTGAAACTTGGGCTTTGGATTGTAGGGGGTAGGGGTTAAAGAGGTAACAGCTTTAGTATCAGTCAAAGACGTTCTATCATTAAGAAGCCGGTAAAATTAAATGATAAATGTGTGCTCATAATTCGAAATAACGCCACTGCCGACTGTACAATGGGTAACAAACTCCAATTAGTCTGCGGTGATGTCGTCACTGAGACACCGCTACAGGAGAAATATTTCTATATTTTAGCGATATTTGGATATTGTAGTACCACTTTACGTTCTGCGATGCTTTTGTAAATAACTTAACTGCCTTTATATCTACATCGACATTTTTCTGATCATTATGATCCTTAAATGTACCAGCCATTTCGCCTAGCGTTATTTGTGTTACTCCGTCTATGATGGTTCCCTGAATATTTTGTCAAGTAGATTGACTCATGACGCATTGATATACAATAGACACGGACTGACAAACAGAGATAAATGAGAAACACGGACTTTGTGATGCAGATATCTTTAAGCTACAGGAAACTTGTGAACCGAAGTTGGAATATCATCAAGAGTTTAATACTTCATCGCGCATAGGTAGTCGGAGATTTTGAAAGTTGATTTAGAGGCGGCGGAAATGAAATCGCTAGAACATGGTGTTACAATGTTGCAGAGATTCCTGCTCATTTTCAGACATTGCTTGGAGGGGATCAAAATTGTAGGTTGGAAGTTATATGCGGTAAATTGTTGTAAATTATTGCATACCTGATTGGTGGCAGTGAAAGACCTTCTATTATTCAGTGATACTATGCACCTATTAGACATAATAAGTCACATATATTTCCCTACATTTGCCATGGAAACAGAAATATGATAGACTTGCTTTATAAAGTTTGACATGCAGGAATCGAAGGTTCATTGTACCTAATCTCGATTCGATTTTGCCTTTTAAAACGAGTTGACTAATCCGTTTTCTTTGAAACCCTTACAACGAAGATGTAGGAAGTATAGAGACAATCTACTTGACGGCATTTATTTCTAAATTGAATCAAACCATCAGTGAACTCAAGAAACAAACAGAAACAGTTCACAGTTGACCTCGTGCAAATTACACTGTGGTGCCGGTGTCGAGCATCGTTGGCTGGTGCGACTTTCATATCTTTCTCTCTCGGTTATTTCTCACGAAGTCGAGCAGGCTTTGAGGAAGGCTAGGCGATAATGGCCTTAAAAATATATATAATTACTATATTTTAGCTATAGGAGAGACGTCGTTATATTGTATACGGCGCACGCTACGGCGATCTCTGCCTGCCTGCAAGAAATGTGTGTGTGCTTCTAACTCTATCGCATTCTATGACGGTCTCTCTGTGGATGGTTCAGGTAAGTTAGACAAAGGACGCGTGGTAAAAATATAAATCATAAACATACCCTTTTTAAGTACTATGCGCTCTGGTAGTATACTGTCCTAAAGTTTGTCTCTCCAAGAAAGACATTAAACCAAAACTTAACCAGCGCGTATTCAGTGCGTGATGACCACGTTGACATATTGCAAGAAACGGGGAGCATAATTGTTATTGGGCAGGTTCAGTCGATCCATATACAGGTCCAATGCCAAACCAAGGAGGTGGAGTGGGAGACGACACTGCGGTGCATGCCACCTCGCCGGCTGCCGACGTTCTGGAGTCCGATCACGTGAAGTATGCGTGAATATGTTTGGCCTTAGTTTCTTTTTTCGATAGATGGACTATAGTGCCCCCGTAGTTATCGAGTTAGGACTTATGTACGGCAGGGAAAAGCACCGAGAACGATTACCTTTTCATCAACGCACACATAAGAATGATCCTTTTCGAGGGATTTTGTGGCTGTAGATGTCTCTCGCCGCACCGCAGGCTTTCATAGGATGTCCTTTGACACACGAATACCTACTAAGAGTACATACTTCATGAAGGATTTCTCTCTTACGGCATCGGAGAGCATGCTGTGAGATCAATCGTCCTAGGATAATACCGTTCTTGTATCTCCAATATAATATTCAAATTCAGCTTCTCTCTAAAGAAATGTACCTGCAGCTCTACTCGAGTAGAAGCACCAATATTCTCACGCAGAAACAGGTTGGCAGGACCCATTGAGCTGATTTTTTTTTTGGGTCGTAGAGAAATAAATGACTTTTCAAAAAGACTTGGGAATGAATAACAAGGAATGGATCCATAAAAGCCTTAAAATAATGGCGTCAAGTAGGTTACTCTGCACTCCTCACGCACCGCTGGTATCAGTTCATAAAGGATTATGTTCAGCAAAAACTAGTTTTAGTCCAAAAACATTTCCCTACCCTACCGGTAGTGCATATGGAAACTTCGCCTCTCCTTGATACTCAACTCGCTCAGACGTGGCAGCACGTTCAGAGCATAGGAAATACTATGCTGTGGCATGGTAGAAATACGTGTAATATCGTATCAGAACAACAGGGCATTCACCAAGACAGGCAACATACACCGCTGGAAGCAGCAGTCGCGGCCGGTAAATAGGCGACTTGTCTGCTGACAATATCCTTCTGTTTCAAGGGCTATTTATGGTGTGTGATATATGTCTAGGTGCGTAGAATTACCAAGGTTGGGAGTATACGAGTATGGATGTACTAACATAAAATTGAGATAAACCCTCTCCACCCCCTACAACCCCCACCCCTAAGTTTTTTACCTCTATTTTCCCCAAAATGGTCAGGATCCGGTAAAACGTCAAAAAACCTGGGTTGAGCGATTCTTTTTCGTTTTTGGTCTTTTTCTCTGCCGCCACTGGACCGATTTTCAAAGACTACAAAGCTTTTACGTCCTTGGCATAGTACTAGCATTGTGTGATATTTCTCAAGTTATAGGCGTAGATAGACACACACCGACGGAAATGAGTGACTTGGTTTTTCGTGATGTACATACGTATCATATAACATCCAAAAAACATAATAACTCATTTTCAAACATTTTTGCAACTTCGCCACCAGTAGGCGTAGGAAATAAAAGGTATCTACAACCATAGTTTTTGCTTCGTAGCGCTATTTTTCCTCATTCATTGTATCGAGAAAGATAGAGCCAGGTTGCCTAACTCAGTTTTTCAAATGCGTTGGCATAAGATGCTGGTGGTGATTAGTAATAAGTGAAATATAAGGTATGAGTGATACCAAATTTCAAAGCCTAAAATCTTTTTCTACGCTTAAAGATTTCCAGAAATGCAGAAAATATCAAAAAACGAAATTTAACCACGTTCTAAAATTTTTCGCTTACATAACTCCCCTTCAAAAGGGCGGCCGTAAAAATCTTTTTCGTCGTCGCAGCAGTTGTGTCCGAATAGTATTTTTCCAGTTATAAATGTGCTAAGCGATTTTTAGTTATTTAATTATGGAAACTTCGTTAAGACCTGCTAGGTTTTTGTCCTCGGTATGGTGTCAACATTGTGGCAGAATTTCATCACAACGGACCATTTTTCTGACCTATAGAGGGATAAGGATTCTAGTACAGACAGCGACATGTAGACAGAGGGAAAGAACTGACATAAGCACAGATATCTTGATTTTGGAATGCTTCCATTGCCTGTTAGCAGTGGAAGTAAACGTTATCTTTCGAAAATGACAAGCATATTGAAAAAGTCGTCTCTATTATAATTCTGACGCATTGACACGCGAATATGTCACACTCGAATTTTATCGGAGTACATACCTTGGTCGAACAGTATGCTATTATTGGCCTTCTCCACAGAGGTTTATGATTTTTTCACTACCAGCTATGATATATCGCAACATTTAATTTAATTGCACTTTGACAGTCGAAACATAAGACATCTGAGAATTTTATTGGCATTCGGCAATCCTATTATCACAGCAATATCTGCATCACAGTCCAGTGAGTAGGGAAGAGGCGCTGCCGCTACATGATAGAGTCTGACAAATATAGAAGACAACATCAATAACATTTTACTTTTAGTGAAGTATAATGTTTTATTATTACTATTCAAAAACGGATAACTGGTTTAAATGCAATGACAATTATGTGCCTCACAAACCAAAAAAGAAATTAGAAATACAGCTCTGTAATATAGTCTCTCGTCCAACCACAGATGGCCAATCATCGACATCTCTGTTTCGCGCAACTCTATTCAGAGTATAAAATCGATCGAAAAGAGACGGCAAAATGTACCAGAACCGACCACTGTGAAAAAGAAAACGGCATGCTGTCTGTGAGAATCAACGAATTCAGACTAGGTATACTATAACTATCTAAAACTGTAATGACTCATCGATGTTCACGTGAACATCACTTAACTAGCGTAGTCGGCTGTTCATAGGCGGGGTATGAATGTTTAACATGGCTGAACTAGATTTGTCACATGCTTATTAAGAGAACAATCAGCCATTATTTCCATCTCTGTCTGTGCTGTTGACCACCGCAAAGCCACAGAAACGACATATGTCGTACGCTATACGGCTGTACTGGAAGGAAGCCGGGATCGAGCTCTGATCACGTGTTGATCACGCGTATGAGTCATTACAGTTTTAAATAGTTGTAGTATAGAAGAAGTCAGTCATAACATGACATAGGTTAATTTTTTTACAGTTCTGTTATCAGATTCGTATTTTCAGTATTGTTTTGCGAGTGTTTGCAGATAATTGTGTTGTTAGACAATGATTTCAAGACATGATACTTCTTAGATAATATGCAAAGCACATGCTGTCATCACTTTATGTTATCTTATTTCCATAGACCTTTTACTCTAAATAGAGAAGAGTTGCTCAGATTTCGTTCGTTGGCCAGCTAAACCAGGCCTATACCATGCTGAAGAATTGCCAAATAGCAAGAAACTATATTCGTAGTTTTTCAATGGCGAGTAGATTATATCTACTCTATCACCAGAATCGGAGGCAGCTAGAAGCCACAGTATTGACCCGGCTGAGAACGGGAGCTGGCATGCAGTTTCAGCACACATCATAGTGTTTTCACTTTCGCAGTAGTCGATTCTGGTAATTGATGGAATTTTGTCCTGTCTTAATTAAGCCGTAGAACCTCTGCATGAATGCAAACTTTCATTATTTACCTAGAGTTTTTTCGTTATCACCTAGGTGGCAGAAATCTAACACCCCTTATAGAAATTCGGTAGCTAATGGCGACTTCTCAGGTTAGTAGTGGAAACACTATAAATTGTTCCTTTTCTTATATACAGGGTAGGGTAATTTGAAAATTGAAAACAGAGAAGAAACTTTTCTTCTCAAAATAAGAGACGACTGGCTAGCTTTACAGTTACAGAGTATATTCTCACTATATTAGATGTCAATTTTATATAAGCATACCCGTACCATTTTGGTCTTACGTATCAGGGCAACAATTTTCAGGTGTTTCCCTTACACATACATACAGGGTGGCGCATCGAAAACGAAACAGACGCATTTACTGGCAGCTCAATTCTTTTTTTGAAAAACGCTCAGACCCGTCGATTTTGTTTTCGAGGGGGACACAAGTTTGACAAAAACCACGTTACCACGTGCAGCCCCCTAAGCGGGGGTGACACCACCCCCAAAATCTTAAATGGGAAGGGGGGTCGAGTGATACCTTATTTTAAAGGTCTTTCAATCACCTTTATAATGATATAAAATTGATGTACTTCAGTTCAGTAGTTTTGAAGATTTATTGACTTAAAGCTTAAACAAAACTAATACATCATCATTAGTGGAGATCAATACATTTGGCAGCAAAGTAATTTAAAAATTAAGAATGAACTGACCCGTTAGGCAAGTAAATGTTGAAAATGGCCACCATGACTCTCCATGCAATAATAAAGGTTTTTATCAAAATGTTGCCGCACATTTTGCAACATTCGAGGAGTAATTTGAAAGCACTCATTCACAATTCTTTGTCGCAGGTCTTCTAATGATGTTGGCTGAGTAGCATAGATTTTGCTTTTTAAATGACCAGACATAAAGGAATCCAAAAGTGATAAATCTGGCGACCTTGGAGGCCATTCATCTTCTACCAATCCATCGATCTGGAAACGTCTGATCTAAATATTGTCGAACACGTAATGCGTAATGTGGTGGGGCACCATCCTGTTGGAACATCAACCTATCCGCACTGTACCGCCGATCATTCTGATTTTCAATTATGGCTGTTAATGCAGGATCTATGGCGTCTTCCAGTGATTCCAAATACGTTTCACCGGTCATATTTCCAGGTAAGAAAAAAGGACCAACTAAATGATCGCCAAAAATACCAGCCCAAACATTTAATTTTTGTGGCTGCTGTGTATGAACCTCATGATAAATTCTGGGATTAGAATCGGACCAATACCGGCAGTTATGACGATTTACTACGCCATTTAAGAAAAAGGAACATTCGTCGGAA